GCTGTAGCCCAAGAAACCGAGGAGAGGATAATATACTGCATATCAACAAAAGACAAAAGTTATAAACAGTTATGTCATATGTACAAGGAAATTCGACAGTTTTTACTGATTACACTTCTCTTACCGGGGTCAAATTTCGATGTCGTAACTCCCAAAGACAAACCAGCCGCTTCAAGTTTCGAGTCAACCACTAGTTTGCGATAATCCCTCTCTGCTTTATCCAAACCGGCCAAAGTTATCAACTTCCCACCGAACTCCGGGCTTAACTTCGGTTCTTTTTGCTTTGTCTCTTTTTCTACAACAGAGTAAAAGTTCCGACCTGTTAGTACACAGAACAATACAAGAATCAGATAAGCATATCCGAATTGACAAAACAGAAAGTAAACTCACTAGCTCCGGAATGAATTAACATGGGTATTGTCATTCCATCAATTCGGCGTTCATGAAAGAAGTCCACCGACTGCCATTCTCCGCCTATCCACACCCATTCCTCCTGAAAACCATGGAGACTCTCCGGAATCTCAGTAACGATCTCCCCAACTTTGACACCATGCTGTGGCTTCGCCCCGGCAAAGAAGCAACAAGACGATTCAGCCACTCTCCTCTTCGGGCTTTGTTTAAAAGCAAAAATACTCCTCATCTCTTCGCATGACGGAAGTCCCTCACCCCTCTCATGCAGCAACACCATTAGCCCGATTATCTTCTTCCAGCTATTCGGTGTGATTTGGCACAACGGCAACTCCCAACTCCGGAGATATTCAGTGATCAAATTCGGCAACGGGAACCTTAATCCCGACCTCAGACTCTCCACAAATACGCCCACACAACCCGGAGGGGGACTTGTTATTCTCTCTCCGGGATAAGGAGCAAAGATTTTCACCGAAGGGGGAATTCGGATCTGTTCCCTCAACATGACGACGTCAGCGTCGGTAAGAATGCTCGGCTCACCAATGAAATCGATCGCCGGATCGGGCCACCTCCTCACCGGTCTTCTCCAATGCGGCACCGCGAGGTCGGTTGCGTTATGTTCCACCACCACATCACCATCCTCGTCGTTCAACTGTATATTCAAATGCCTTACCAACGACGGGTCCCACCGGTGATATTCAAAGGCCAACTCAACCAATTCTGAATCGTGATACACGTCCAATGGAACCGACTCTGTGCTCGATGAACTCGCCACCGCCTTTCCCTTTCCCTTCGACGCCATCGTACGGTTGAACAAATTACAAGAGAATGAACAAAAGAAATTGAAGAAAAAGCTTACCCGATATCTCTCACACACAGCAAGCAAGGAAAATTCTGCAGACTCAGATGAACTCAAACAACAAAGCGATAAGAAAATTCGAGAGTGAAAACGCAAGTGAAGGAAACCCGATCAACAGTTGCCAAACCCTATTTATAAGCATCAGATTGTGACCGTTGGATATCGCCACTAGGGGCGCGTCGAACCGACGCGACCCCTAATCCTAACCGACGCCGCCCTTTCATCTGATGGGACACCTACTGGTATACGTGGCTGCCTATTAAAGTCGACCGTTACCTCTTTTAAGACCATTACGACGCGACCGTTCAGCCTGCACATTTACTCGTTGACCGTTACGACCGTTCATCACTTCTGTCATTAACTGCCAAAAGATTACCCAAGATTCACCAAGTGTCTCCACTTCGGTATACAGTCTGCACTTCGGACAAGTGATCCACTTCGGTTACGTCGGTAGACCGACCAAAGATGATCCACCGAACATCGTAGACCACATCGTACCACCGACTTCTTGCCGATCCAGGGTCTCTAAGTACCTGGTACGTTGCAACATCAATAACCATCACTCCGTATGCCCATCGATGTTGGGGGCCTCTCTGTTATCATCCGGCTCGGCAAGACACTGTTAAGAGGTTTTGAGCATCTTATTAAACGCAATTAACAGCTAAACCGACATGAATCATAACCGCACCGATCTACACCAAAGAACCGGTCTGAACCACCAAAGACCGAAGTGACCGACGATTACCGAGGTCACCGTCCCCCGAGGACAACATGAACCGAGGTCGTCATCTCCTTAAGCAGGTGACAAGGCATCTACGTGAGGTCCTCCTACTCCACAAGATCTGTCATCATTTGCGTGGGACCCTCTGCCTCGAACCGCCCATAAAAAGCTACTTTATTCCGAAAAGTAGTGCACGGATCCCGATGCCTCAACCCAAAAAACTACTATAAATAGTGGACTTATGACAATTGTAAGAGGATCTCGGTTCTCTCAAATTACCGAACTGTAAACTCTTTACCACATAACACGTAAAAGCCCTCCACGGCTCTTCACCTCGGTTCACCTCGGACCGGGGCCATTGCTGATGCAATTTTACATGTATTACGTTCAAATCCTTTTAACTTAGTCACTTAAATCATAAATTACATCGTTGTTAACAATCACATAACAACAAGAGTTTTGATAAGTGGACCTTAATGATAAGATTATGTTAGCTTAGCCAATTTTCTACAAAATATTAAATTTCATAGATTAAATATAAATTATTTGAATAAAGTAGAATCAACTGATTCTATATAGTAATGATTAATTATTATTAATAAATAAAAGAGATAAATATGAGCTTTGATGAATAGTAATTTTTTTAAAAAAAGAAATTGCATGACGATACAAAATGACAAAAAAACTTATATCCAATTCCTCATATATAAGCAAACTTTAAAGTTGATGTGATATAAAAATTATAAAATATTATCTTATAGTGATAGATTAAAATATTTGAATTGTGAATGGTTTTTCTTTATTAAAAATTATACAATAATAATTATTTTTATTTTTAATTGTGTTGCTAAAATTATAAAAGAACAATTGAATAATATTTATTATAAAAAAAAATCATGTTGATATCATTTTTAATTATACAAAAAGACATTCCTTGTATGAATTGATCAAATTGTACAAATAGTTTATATGTCTTGTTTGGCCATTAGTTGATAGCCAAACAATTTGTTTATAACAACTGGTTTAATTTGAATATCATTTTGTAAATAATTGTTTGATAAATAATAATTGTTTGATAAATATAGTAGAGTAATGCTCCCCTACCTACACTGGACACATGTTAATATGTTCACGGTTTATGTGGCATGTACACATTGGTGATGTTAATATGTTCAAAAAATACATCACCAAGCATGTCAGATAAGTAGTGGTCATATTAACATGTGCCCACCACCGTGGGTAGGGGAGCATTAATTATTTGCAAATCTTAGCAAAGATAATTCTTGAGCCAAAAAATATTCATTTGGATCTTGGGCCTGTTCTTAGTGGATTCATCTTTATTAGTCTTTCGGCCCAACCCCGACAGCCCATCTGGTAAAGTTAGTATCAGTTGATCTTGAATATGGGATAGTTGATATGTTGGTTTCAAGCATATTTTCACTGTTATTTCTCAAAGTTAATTCATTACAATTGCATCTGTTTGTTGTCATAAAATCATACAAATTTAATTGATGGCAGGGCATTTGTTCTGTTTGCGTTTGAGAAGCACAAACAAGTTGAACTCTGGTATCGACACGAATCGAACCCAGTTCTTGCGGAGTTTTTCGAGGAAAAGCTCGAACACTTGGTCTAGGATTTCGTGCCCAAAGTGCATCCGTATTTGTTCCTCCGCCACGGCTCGTACGCTGAGTGACGCGGCTCGGGGCTCGTAATCGGAAGCTTCTGTTTCGGGTAAACTCTCCATTTTCTCGATAGTGAAATGCCCGTTTTGCTTCATCACATCTTGCAGCTCGTGTGGCGAAGCAATGTAGATTGGCCAGTTGAACGTATCGACCTTCTCTTCGTCGATTAATCCCTACACATCCGACCAAATGGTCATTTTATTTTTTATTTTTTTGTTGTGCAAGTATGAATAATAGTCATTTGGCCAGGTCAAATGACACATCTACCCTTACTCTCAGATTTTTCAATAAAAAAAATAATAAATAATATATAATTTCTGACATCCAGAAACAATTTTTAGAATTTCCGTAATATTCAGAACATAGTTTATGTGTTCTAAAAACCATTTTTGAAATTTTAGAAATTAATTATTGTATTCAAGATATTATTTAAATGTTCCATAAAGTACCAAAAATCATTTATGGAACTCTAAAAATGGTTTGAGCGAAAAGGTATTGAAGGGGTATTCAGGTCATTTGTCACGAAAAAACGGCCAACAACCATCTTCTGCCAAAAAGTGGTTATATTTCATCATTTACAAAATGAAAAAATCTATATATATATAATTGCTAGCATATAGCATTTAATTTTACCTATTTAATAAAACCTCTAACATTTTCCCTCCATTTTCGGTTACAAAAATTATCATTAATATTTTTTATTTCTCACATTAATACATCATAATGAGTATAATCATTTATTTTTCTATTATATTATATAATAATTATTGCTAATACCAATTAATAATAATTCACAATAAATATAAATTACATAATTAAGAACAATTATTTTAAGTTATTTATTGTAACATTAATATTATCTTTTTCTTTTGTATCTCATGACAAAAATTTCTTTAAAAACAATTATTAAATTATTTTAATAGCATAGTCAAACAACTTTAGAATCTTATAAACAATTGTTTTAATAATAATAATAATAATAATAATAATAATAATTAAACAATTAGTATCGAATGGTAATATACAATTGTTAATAATAATAAAATCGTTATTTTTTTCTAATGATCAAATTTTTAAAAATGTAATATGTTCATTATCTAAAATTTTAATATTAAATTCTCAAATATTACTTATAATATTATATGTACATTTGTGCATGATTGGCACATATATTTTTTTTCTGAAAATCAGAAACACTAATAATTTTTTTATTTATGTTAATTTTCTTAATATATGCTACAAATATATAAATTATTTTATTCATGTTACTAATATAAACGTTGCATGGTTAAAATACAATTTAAATCTCAATTGATTTTGAATGATAAAAATAACTTAAGAAAAAATAATAATTTTTATATGATAGAAGCACATGTCTAATTAATAAATACAAACATAAAAATAAATTTTGACTCTAAATATAAAATCTTTAGTTGGTGGAACATAAATTTCAGTTTCAAAATCATATCAAATGCGCCACTATTATATAGTTCATATTTTTCTAGTTATCAAAATATTTTCAACTAATCATGCTCTTGATTTGTTGGTATTTACACTAATTAGTTAATA